AGGTCCAGAGATCGGTGGTAAGCAAGACTCGATCGACTTTCACCTAGTTCCTTGGGCAAGCTGTGCCTTCATTTTTCTGAATGTTGCGAGGGATGTCTGATTGGAGGGTAGTGCGGCCAAAGATCTTGAAGCGGGGTTGGATTGATGCCAAGAATTCACGAAAGAGCGGATACTCAACAAATCGGAAGGGGAGCTCGTGGGCGATGACCATTTTTACCAACAGCTCGCGCGACAATTCCTGCGAAAGCGTCCAGTTTGACGGGGCCAAATTGCCACCGCTAAGCTTCAACATCGTTTGCTTGGTGCACTTGGCGTAGTTTTTACATCTCTCGAGGTGTCGTCGTAGGGTCGATGTTCCATTGCCACTATTACCGTTTAACTCAGATCGGCAGTAGTTGCAATGAGCCTTGGCAGCCTCACCTGGGGAATGAAAGACCGAAAGATGTCAGGACTTGGGAGAAATAAAAAGACTGAAGAGGTGAAGGGAGAAGGGAGGGGCTTACCTACTCCGACTTTCTTAAAATGTTCCCAAACGTCACTGCGAGACTTAACTTTGGTTGGATTAGTACTAGTCGAATCGGTTTGGTCTGGCTCGGGATCGATGAGAGTTGGTGTTTCTTGAGCTGGTGTTGAAGTTGGAGTGGCTGCCACTGACACCGGCGCTTTTGTCTTTGGTATTTGACTAGCAGTAGCAGTTACTTTGATCGAGGAGTTGGCCGCCTCCTTGGTACTGGAATCGCTTTCAGAAGAGTCACTTGCTTCCCGTTGAATGATCGGGTTGGGTCGCTTGCGTTTGCTACGGGTTTCTCTGGCCATCGTGGCTTGTTGATGGTGGGACTCGAGTTGGTGGGAATTGGCGGTGGGGAATCAGACTGTAGAGAAGAGAAGTCAAGACTCTTGACTCGAAGTTTGACAAGACCGGGGTCCGAAGGACCGGTGAGCCAGCTATTGGGCAGCGGGTACATATGACAACCGCTGATTCTTACGCAGGATTATCCCGGGTATCCCCGCTGCAAAATCCAGTCGGGTTTCCCGGGTCGGTCTCGGGTCGACCCGAATGACAGCAGACCTGCCCGAACCCGAACCAAAATTGAATTGGGTCGGTCCGGGTCGGGCAGAAATTCCATCAAAGGCTGCCCGAACCCGACCCATTTGGCGTCGGGTTTCGGGTCGGTGTCGGGTTGACCCGAACCGTTGGCAACCTGAGGTGTAACTTTATAAAGCATAGTTACATCAACCATTGTCACATCGCAAAAATGAGTACCAAGAGGAACCATGGGCCATGTCAAGCAGCATAGCTTCAGCTAATACTGGCCATGATGATGATAGCATACCTTTAAACCACATCACAACAGTCATTCCCACAAGGAACATAAACTTGTGATAAAATTTAAGGTGACAAGATGAGCAGGCTGCCCCATATTAGGACTGGAAAAATGTATCCTCATTGGGATGAGCTGAATGCAGAGTAGGTAAGAGGTTGAATCTGACTGTCTAGTGTAGGACTGATGGCCCAGCACTAAAATCATTATTTAACCACTCAGTAAAATTGAAATTAGTTACTTTTTGCCAATTATACACTAACAATGTGCTAACAAGAGAAAAGCAATGCACCATGCCAAAATTCATAAGGAACATATTTTTCGGGTGACTGCACTTCAAAATCAAGCAAAGAACAATGCTAGGGCTGGAATGGTAGCCCATTATTCACAAATCCCAAATCCAACTTCACTTTATATAGTATCAGGATGCTGCTTACCTCGCCCATCAAATGAATTGATATTTACCTGGAGTTTCTCCCTTGGTTCAGTAAACTGCAAAGCAGAAAATTTTGAAAATCCTTAGGCCTTGTTTGGCACTGATATAATTTAGCAGTACCATGTGCATTCTTAATTTCTTCTGACATCTGATGAAGTTTTGGCAGACCTGATCAGATGCCACATAAGATTTCAGGAAGAAAATTGGCATATATTGCTTGCATTATGTTGCTGCCAAACAAGACCTTATGAAAAACCTATGACTGCTGTTCATCTTTCTCACCATGAAAACTTTGGTAAGTAATTTTATGGCTCTTGATTTGTCAGTGTCAAGTATGAATGGTAACTTCTTGACAGCTTGCTGAGTCACAAAGCTGAAGATAGATCAGTGGCTAATAAACATTAGTCTGTTGATTATACCTATTGCACCATAAGGCCCCACAACAACAGTGAGGGGATTCTGGAGGATTAAGGATTCTTGGTATCTGCCTTCTTTTATCTTTCACCAGTCTTCCTTGCTGATTCATAATCCAGTTTTCTCAATCTGCCCTTTGCTTTGGAAACCTGAGCTGGGAATAAATAACCAGCTTGCTATCTCAAATTGTTCATTCTTGATCATTGTTCCTCTGAATGCACCAAATCCATTCAATGACCTATTCTGATATCATTGAAACCTCAAGATTCTCTCTCTCTCTCTTGATTGATTGATTTCAAACATCATTCCATTGTGTCTTTCATATTCAAATCTCATGTTGCTGATCATCAGCATTGGTTGCATGTTTTCTACTTTCTCATTTTTTTTGTTCTTGACTCATGTTGATATTATGTCATTTTGTCTATGTATCAATCAGTTTTGAAATAAGACTCCATGATCTGTGTTCATAAAGATCTATGTAGACCCTATATTAAGATGTTTGTGTATCAATAACCATCTTGAAAAAAAAACAGATTTTCCTGCTTCGTTTGAGCCCCAACTTTTGCACAAATTTCTAAAATACTGTTCAGGACAAAGGCCTTCTGAAATATTATTAACTTTCAATTGTGCCCCCCTCCCCTTCTAGTGAAGATTGGTGGTGTGAGGGTGTATGGCAATCTGATGTGTATGTAGAAGAAGAGCAGTTTGAGTTCTGAGGGGCTGTAAGCTGCTTGCAAAGTACTGAATTCTGATGGATTGTTGATCTCTTCTCCGCATTTGCAAGGGAGTAACCACATGAGCTGTCCTGCTGGCCTGTCTGTTGGATTGGCAAGGCTCATGGAACTTTAACTCCACAACTACCCTTTGTCCATTGATGATCAAAGGTTTGTTTTTATGATCTTATAATGTGCACAATGCCATTGCCATTGACCTTTTGAAGGTTGAGTTCTTATTATGTAAATACATACACACACAGTTCCTCCGAGCTGTCAGGTTGAAACCTTAAAAGTTGCATGATATCATCATATGATGTGATGTGATATGTTTTCTGCCTTTGTAACATCACAATCCTCATCAGCCAGCCGCTGTACTCGATCGACCCTGTTGACCATCATCAGGAGACATCCATCCACCTTCCCTGTCTCTGTCCCCACATCCATCCCATCCCATCCCATCTCAACAACAACAACAACAACAACATCCACACACACACACACCCTATCATCTCCATCTTAAGCTTGTCACTTTACTTGAATAGAGCTCAGCTTGCCTGATTACCGATCGTCATTCACCAGCACCTTCTCGACCGATTCAAATCCATCCATGGAGCCAGCCGGAATCACCAACGATAATAAAAATGATCTACCCTCTGATCCACCCGCCGTTCCGGATCAGCAACTGTCCTCAGATAAACCCAACTCATCACTGGCCACCGATAAATCATCTCCTACTGCAAAAGCCCGCCCCACAGGCACCAATGGCCCTGCGAAACGAGGGATTGCTGCTGCAATCGCAGCCTTTGGTACGCCTGACTGCTGCTAAATACATACATCATAATCCTATTATCACTGTCTCATGATCTCATCCCTTGGCTGCTCGATCACTAATCCGATCACCTGCATTTCTCATCATCAGAAAAAGGTACAGGCGATAAAACCACTTCTCCCAAAGCCAGTCCTGCCGTCGTAAAGAGGACCACAACAACTACCTCTCACTCCAAAGAGCCTTCCCATGCTACCGATAATGGTCAAGTTACCAATCAGCCTTCTGCGCCAGCGCCAGCTCCAGCTAAAACCACACCCACAGTCAAGAAGGAGTCAACTCCTGCTGTCAAGAAATCTGAGCCTGCTCCTTCCAACAAAGCTCATCCACGTGTTTCTACCACCACTGCCGCCCCCGCCCCCGCCGCCAAACCGCCCGTTCGCGCTTCTACTTCTACTCGACCTGTACCTGGACGTACAGTCACCAAACCGTCTGCGAATGCATCAGCTTCCCCACCAGCACCGGCGGCCTCCCGCAGGACAAGCATAATCTCTACTGCTACCCGGGTGCCACCTAAGACGACCACGACCAGTGCGGTTGCCACGGCAGGTACCGCTCGAAAGCTTCCTTTGAATAACACGGCTTCAACCGGATTACGAAATGCGCAAAGTACTCTTGCCCCCGGAAGGAAAATGTCCACTGCGCCTCCTGCAATGACTGCAAAGACCACTACTGCAAGACCTGCCGCCAATGCTTCTAGCCAGCTCACTGTCGAGTTGGAAAACAAGGTTGGTGATTCATAGATCTTTGATTGAGCATGCGGTCCTCTCTATTCATTTCATGCTATCTGTTCAAGCTACACAGTGCTGACCTTTCTCCCCTCCAAATTCTAGCTATCACAAGCCGAGCTCAAACTGGCCGCACGCTCCGAGGAATTAGCAACCCTTGAAGCTCGATTGGAAGAAGCCACAAAGAATGCGGTTACTGAACAGGAGAAACTAACGACCGAGATCAAGTGCCTCAACGCTAAGTTGGAAGAAGTAGCAAACTCTTCCCAAACCGAATCCCCTAGCTCTGCTGCTACAGTTGAAACGATGAAAGCCGACCTGGAAACTGCCAAGCTTCGGATCGCAGAACTTGAGGGCGTAGTTGACTCGCATCAGAAAGACCAAGCCGATCTACAAAACCGACATCAAGAGTCTTCAACTGAGGTTGCAAAACTTGAAGCATCGGTTAAAGAGCTGAAACAGCAGTTAGACGAAGCCATTAATTCCAAAGAGGCTGCGATCGAGGAGGCTTCCAGTCACCACACCAAGGAATTGGAATCTAAGCTAAACGAGGCCCGAATCGAATTCGAGACGCAGAAGTCTACTCTTGAATCACGCTTAGAAGAACTGGAACGCCAGTCTAAAGACGCCCAAAACGAAGCCACCACTCAGATTGAGGCAACTCTCTCTGCAGAACTTGCCACGAGGACCGAAGAAGCCTCTCAAAAGCATTCAGAGGAGTTGGAACAATTGAAGGCTCAACACGCTTCACAGATCGAAAACCTCACCAGCGAGCATGAGTCTGCACTTCGAAGCTTACGTGAGGACCTTGAGGCTAAGCTCGCAGCTGCAGAAAAGGCGGTCGCGGAGATTCAGGAGGCGACAGCTTCGTCGGATGCTTCTCGCAAAGAAGAGCATGCACAAGAGCTCACAAGTGCTGTTGAGAAAGCGAAGTCGGCTGCGAAAGAAGAATTTGATTCCAGTGTTGCTAAGTTGAAGGAAGAACACGATGCTGCGCTTTCCAAGTTGGAAACACAGATCACAGAGATCAAGGAATCCAAGTCGGTCATGAAAAATGAATTGGACGAGTTGATGTCTCAGAATGAAGCGTTGATTGCTGAAAAACAGGTAATTATCAAACAACATCCATTGTATGACCTTTAAACTTCAAAGGGGCAAAGAGCGTCTGCTAAAGATGCGGACTCCTTCCCTTAATTTTCATATTTTCAAACACAGGCGCTGGAAGAACGACTTTCGAGTGACATCGAAGCGCTTAAAGCGGAGCATACCGTTCAACTTGAACAAGAGTATCAACGAGCAAAAGACGAATTAAACGAATCTCACATCGACCAGCTCAAATCCTTCCGTCAAACATCCCAAGAATCTACTGAACAGGTGAGTCTTGAGTACTTCTGTCACAGTCTTGATGCTCAATTGACCTGTTTTGAACTTTGTTTCACCCACTAGTTGTTACAATCTCACAGAGCTGAGCTGGAGGCAGTGCAGTCTGCCTTACATTCTGATTTTGCGTCCGAAAAAGCTACCCTTGAAGCTGGACTTGAGCAAGCTAAACTAGAGCTTTCAGCTCTACACTCGGATCTTTCGTCGACTCAGAAGAGCAAACAAGATCAATCGGACAAAATCAATCGGTTGACAGCTGACCTCGAAGCCGCCCGTGCTGCTCTAGCAGATTTAGAGTTAAAAGCAAATCAGCCTGTCAAATCGGACGAATTAGAAGAGCTCCAGAAAGCTTTGCAGAAAACCAAGCAAGATGCTGAAGACCAACGACTCCAATTAGAAAAGAATCAGGAAGAATTGGTTGCCAATTTCGAACACGCGCGTGAGCTTCACTCTAAAGAAACTACCAAGCACATCGAAGAGAAAACCCTTTTGCAGAAGGAATTGGCGACCTTCAAAGAACGACTTGAATCAGGTGATGATAGAATCAAAATGTCACAGGCTTTGGTTGACGAACTTAGCCAAACGATTGAACAAGAAATGTGCAAGAAAGAAGAACTCGAAGCTCAGTTGAAAAATTTGAAGAAATCACCGGGATCTCAAACAGGCGAGGGAAACAGTCACAATACGAATTTGATCGAACTGCACGAAGCCCATAATTTGAAGATATTGGAACTGACAAACGAGGTCGAAAAATGGAAAGACATCGCTGCGAAGAAGGAAGAGGAAGCGGAGGAGAAGCAGTTTAGGATCAAGTTGCTAGAAGAAATGATCGAAAAAGATGATGATGATGAAGATGATGACGCCAAGAAGAATGATAATCACGATGAAGCACCGCATGGACTCTCTAATGCAAACACGACTTTTGTCAACAAAAACGAGATGGATGATGACGACGAAGAGCATCAAGAGGATCTTGACCATCATTCTAAGATCCAAGCTGAAGAATCTCCCAATAACTATAACCAAGACCTTTCGATCAAATTCGTCGCTTAATTGCTTATCTCTAATCGTTCATCACATTTATTTTTTTCTTCGACTTGGTTTCCAGAAAACAAGATTATTTTTTTGCTTCCCTTCTTTTCTCAATTGAATGCTAGACTTTTTGTTTTGTTGAATTTCCTTAATCACGTGGAATCATTACACATGGATTCTTTTTTTTTTGTTATCTTTTATTTTGTTTCTGTTGAGTTTCGTCCTTTTCGGTTTTAGAAGAAATGCATGATCCCCTCTTTGCATAGTTGTTGGCACACAGAGGAAAAGTCAAAGTTGGGTTGATCATCAGTTATCATCGTTTTCTCATTTGTTAGTTTATGTAAGTAATTATGTATATACATGTTCGGTTTAATCGCACCCCAAGCAAATCAGTCACAAGTCGCTCAAAGAAACCAAACTTGCAATCTTCACTGATGGCGTTTTGGTCCCAAGGAAGGATTATATGCGTCAATTTACCGTTGTCTTCTGATAAACTGAAGTTAAACGCGTTTTGATCGAATGGTTAGGCTTAATTGTTGATGAATGAAACTTTCAAAAGTCAAGCGATGCAATTTTTTTTTGCGCAACAAGGACGGCCTAATTCACTGGCCTTTATCGCCATTGGCATACAAGTCAGACTACATACCACGCACAAGCAAGGTTATAGCGACATATTGACTCCGAAGACAAGAAGTGCATACATATGTATTCACCTCGGGGGTGGCGTTTCCATAAGAAACCCAAACTTCAAAGTATCTGATCAAGCATTGGCACATTTAGCCCTGATGGTTGGCTTCCCCCCTTTTCTAACTGATGAGTACAGATATCTTCCCAGAAACCACACTTCAAACATCAGCTTCTCAAACCATGGCAACGGGCTTTGGAGTCTTCCTTGACCACCTCAAGCAAGTGGATCAGGATACGGAATATAGGATATGGGAGCCTTGCGTGATCAACCAAGACCAACATCTCATTTCAACCTCAAGTCAAAAAATAAAAAAACGACCGGGCATCAGAAAACAAACCCACTAATCCGCTCACCCGCGTTATCCCTTCCAAACGGCAAATCTCACTTTCTTTCCGTCATTCGTCGAGCTCGTCGTCCTAATGTTATCTCATGATCGTGCCATCGTCATCCTGGAGGCTCTACTCGCTTTCTGGTTCTTTCAATTAGCCGGATCGACTCAGCCGGAATTAGTTAAACGAGTCTCTGACCCGATGGCAATACCTGACCCGCCGCAGAAACCAGTAGTGTGGACGAATATTCACTGCGGCGATGAGTTCGGCTCCTACAGGCCCGCCGACCCTCTGCTTAGGTGTCAGTCTCCACACAACCATCCCTTCCGATCTTGAAGTTGAGAGTGGCTTTGCAATTTTTTGATCTCTAACTTTGACCGCCATAGCATGTACCGACTATGGACTGAGGAAGTACTCTTGTGACACAAGCCAATGTCACATGGGAACCGCATACGATTCTCCTAAAACTGGCCCTCGTGAGCGCTTTGATTGTCATTCAGCCTTGCATCGAACTCTTGTTTCACCTTCGACGAGGGCGTTATCCTCAACGCTAAACTGAAAATCTGGACTTCCATCTAATCAAAAAAAAAAAAAAAGTCAATCAACTGTTGTATTTCAGAGGTTGTCACAAGCTCGGTACCAAGGACCAGACGACATACCTCGTTTACGCTTATTCATACCTTGCGCGCAACAAGAAAGGATTTTTGAGTAAGTTATTTTTTCAAAGACATGGGTCGGTGGGGATGTAAATTTAAATAACCCGGGATTCCTTCAACATCATTTTTTTTTTTTTTGAATTTACTAGTCGCCCTTGGTTTTGCGATTGGAGACATGACCGAGACCGTGTACAGTTTCAAATGTCCTTGGGATGACAACTCAGCCCGGAACAACAGGAGAGTCTGTAAGTTGTCCATCTCTTCGAGATTTTTTCTGGATCTCTCTCTCTCTGTGCCCGTTCTAAGACGCTGATGCGATGCGATGGGTGGATATGTCCTTTTGGTAGGGTGTGATAAATGTTATCAGTCTCAAGATTCTCAAATAAAGAAGCCTCCACGGCCTACTATAATTTGAAAACTCACTGCACAGCTTTCTTGAGTTTCCCCACCATATCTAGGACATTTCATAGGTTATATGAGCTACCTCTTTGATCGGTATATTCCCCTTATCTTTTTGGTTTGAGTCCACCTCAGTTGGACTCGGAGGATAGTCATATCTGTCACAAAGTGCTTTCATTTCTCAGAAACTGAACACTTAAACAAAACAGCGCATGAATGTATCTTTGAAGAATATGGAGCAAAATCCCCACCTGACCACAATGAAACAAATTCCTCAAACAAATGCATCATTTTTGTAGATAGACACACATATATGTATACAACCTAGAGAACATTCAGCTATCTCTTTTCCCTCTTTTTCCAACTACAATCTACCTCTTTATTTAGTTCTCTTCCACATATATCTTGCAATAGCTGCTTAACAAAATTCAAGGCTACACACTCCGGTCCCCAGTTTAGGAAGAAAAAAAACTGAAAACATTTCTGTCCAAAGATTGCACTGTTTCTGAGAAGTGTCACGTTTGTAAAAAATAATGGCTTTGTTAACAAGTTCACATCTAGCAGTTTAGCTAGTTTGCTGATATTAAAAAGGGGCTTGGAAAAACGACTCCTAAATTTTAGGCAACAACTCCCATTTGTTGGTTGATGTCAAGAGGACCGTCTGCGGACCACTCCTGGACCAAATCTGGACCCAGGAGTTGGTCCAGGGAGTTTTTAGACTAATTTCAATTTTTTTGATGGGTGTCGTCCGCCCATTTTGATCTATTATTATTTTTTGGGAGTCGTTCGCCTAATATTTGGGAGTTGTCAGTCCCAATTCTCATATTTTTTTCAGGTTTTTCTGTTTTATGTTATCTTTTTTTTTGACTGGGAGTCATCAGGCTAAAGTTGCCTGACAAAAAGGGAGTCACAACCTTGTTCTCGGCTTTTTTTTTGTCTCACAGGAGTCACTGATCAATCCCTGATTCCCTAGCAGTTGGTGTTGGAGAAGAAACAAGGTTTCTTCTTCCACACAGGAGTAACCTCCCCAAACCCGCATACTCACAAACTTGACCAATATCCTCCCTCCTCCCATATCCATACACCCACAATGACCTTCCCCCAGCAACACCAACTCCCCACCCAACCAATCAGCCAGCCACTGAAGTCAGGGATATTGTGGATGTTAGATCAGATGGTCACTGTGGATTTTCCATTTGACTGTTGAGAGGAAGATTGCAACTCCGATGACCCACTACTAGGTTTTTTTTACTGTGTCTTTTTTAATTCTTGATTTTTTCCCTCTATGTCCTTTTTTACCCTGTTTTTTAAATTTCTGATCAATTTTGAATGTTTTTTTCCCTTTTATCATTTCTTTTATCTTTATCTTTGTCTCCCAATTGTTTTTCTCAATGAATATAATTTTTTTATCAGTGATAAGGTGTGTTTGGGGCAGGGTCTCAGTGGCTCATTTATTTTATGTCTCTGGGGTCACTAGGGTCTCAGTGGCTCAATTTTTTTATGTCTCTAGGTTCACTATATGGTGACAACTCCCATAGTAAAAAATGTAGGGGGCTTTTTAGTCGGACGACTCCCGTTTTTTTATAACAAAAAAAACATTTTTGCCTGAATTAAGGGTGATGACTCCCATTTTTTAGTCAGATGACTCCCGTATTTTTTAATAAAAAAAAAAAATTAAAAATCTTTGGTGAAATTAGGGCGATGACTCCCTTTTTTTTCTTGGAAATTAGATGAACGACTCCCACCAACAACCCCTGGACCAAAACGGGAGTCGTCGACTAAAATTTAGCAGTCATTTTTCCAAGCCCCATTAAAAAAAGCAGTCATATTTATGAGGATATTTGGCCACATCAGCAATTAACCAGCAGATGGAAACAGGATGATCATAAATCTGGGCTGGAATATCCACATATTTTACAAGATTAAAATAACATCAACCAGCAACCAATGAGGAATTTCTTTTTGGTCAAGATCTTGATTTTACAGCAAAATTTTACTCAACCAGCAAAGCAGCTGATCAGAAAACTGGCTAATAATCCAGACATGAACCATCCTAGTGTTCCTCATAGAGGGAACATTATTGATCTTGATCTAGCGAGGGCAGCGAGCTCGTGGAGCGTGAGTGAAGGGGAGGCAAAGTATGTAGATACTATGTGAGTAGTTTGGCTCACGGAGTCAGTGACTGTGAGAATGGTATGAAATAGAATCTGATATTCCGAGAAGCATGAGGATGGAAACAAACAGAGACAAATAGCAGACTATTTATGTACATGTATAGGAGTCGAAACAGTTAGAGAGACAAGGGAATCAGACAAGATAAGAGAGATAGAGATGAAATACGATCCGATTGAGTTGAGCATCAGTAGATAGGCAGATAAAAGGATGAGAAGCTGAGAGGTGAAGAAACTTAGGAAACCTTAGCGTTGGACTCATTAGTGTGTCTGAGTTGTGAGCAAGGTAAGATGAGCGGGGTTGATACATAGAGAAGATGAGGAATCGTGTTTGAGCATTTTCGTGCTGAGAACTTAGGTTCGTAACACTTGATAAGTAAAAGAAAATCATCTATGCCTGTGGAGTTTTCTAGATTTTTAAAAGCTCAGGTCACAAAATCAAAAGATTACAAATTCAGGTCAGGATGAGAGGTAGGTTCTTTCCCCATTTAATAATTTTTTGAAGATTTCAAGACTTATTTTTGTACTAGACAGGGTGTCTGTTTCTGATTTATCACACCCCCATTAAAAAATTTCAAATTGCCTGTGCATGCTAGTATTGTTAATATCTCAAAATTCTAAGTTAAAGCCTTATGAACTCTTTCAGATCTGAATTTTTGGATGGATGGATGTAACAGACTTCTGATTTATTTGGAGGGCATTGGCTCAACCAAGATCAGCCCAACCATTAAATTATTTCTCCCCATTCCCAAGGTAAGAATGATGTCTTTGAGAGGGAGGAAAGGGTGTAAAATTGTTGCAAGATTCTGACACATACTCAAACCTTTCTGCTAATTGTTTTTTGATTTGTTTTTTTTTGGAATTTTATCCTCAACCCACACAGGATTTCTGGAACTGTATAGTGTCTAACCCTCTCCCATGGATATTTTATGAATTTTCCTGTGTTTAGATTTGATAATTATTAAGAGTCTTATCAGAATCAGATGATGATCCAGATTAATTGTTTTTACATGAAAATTCATTAATAATTGACAAATATACAGTCTTTTATCCCAATTAGATTTGAAAATTTGATTCCAATTTCTGGTTAAATTTTTTACAAAACAGGAAGCTAATATTTTTAGGGGATTAATAAACGTACCCCCCTTTTCTGCTATCCACACCCGGTTTTTCACACCTGGTTTTCTGCTTCTACACCCGGTTTTCCCCAGCCTTTTTAATTCATTTTTTGGCAATTCTGAATATGCTAAAAATCTTCTAAAATTGATCATTCTTTTTGGGTATATAAAAAATCCTCAAAAGAGAAATTTTAATTTATCTGATTCATCAAGTTTTTTTTCTGCCTATGAGTTTTTGAGAATTCAAAGTACATTTAAATTTATCATTGATATTGCCCAATATTTGGGAAATCTATAAAGGACCAAATTTGATTTCATTTTGGAAACCCCAATGTTGTTGGTTTTGAGCTATAACCAAATGGACAAAATAAGGAATATCTTGAATGGGACCATCTGTATGGAGAAGAAAGATTAGAAACTTGAAAATTAATAAGAATTGTTGGCTTTAATTCCAGTTTTCAAGAGTTCATAGGGTCAAAAAAAATTGGGAAAAAATGGGTGAGAAAAATAAAAAAATTGAAGTTCTCTTTTGAGGATTTTTTATATACCCAAAAAGAATGATCAATTTTAGAAGATTTTTAGAATAATCAGAATTTCCAAAAAATGAATTACAAAGGCTGGGAAAAACCGGGTGTAGAAGCAGAAAACCAGGTGTGAAAAACCGGGTGTGGTTAGCAGAAAAGGGGGGTACGTTTATTAATCCCCTATTTTTATCACCATTGGTTTATTCTTGAGGCCTTACAACCTCTCCATGAATCATTCTTCTTGGCATCCAGTGAATTATGACAGTAGATTGAATCTGAAGTAAATCCACTTGATCAAATGGCTCAAGGATGAATGTGCATAGATCAATAAAAGGGATATGTGAATAATAATAATTCTGATGGGGATCCATTTAATTCTGAACACTTTTTAAAGAAATGATAACATGGAAATGAGAGAAGCTTAATCGCTTGCCAAAAATTCTGTTCTGCTCAAAAAGCTAAGTATGATTGGGCTAGATAGCTTCTGAAAAAAAAATACCATAGGTTGTGAATTTCACTTTTGTTTGCACCACACATGTCTGTTGATCCGACATGTTGAGGGGAAGGCTCAAATCACCAATGTTAGAGAGCCGAAGTGGACGAACTGATGCAGTCCGACGCAGACGAGCTTACGCGGGGGGACAGGACTGGTGAAAGGCCATGTGACAGCCGATCGCTCGCACCACCAACCACATGACCCAGCTCACTCCTCCTGGCTCGCCCCTCCCAGTCCACCTCTTCTCAAGAAATTACTTCCTCAAGCATCAGTTCCCAACCAATACGAAGCATCGGCACTCAACAACCTCGCTCGACCCTTCGGAGAATCAGCTGCTCAAATCTCTTGGTCGTTCGTCCAAGGATTCGGTAGTCCGATGAGTTTCAAATTCGGCGCCTTCTCTGGCTCTTCCGCAGGTGGAAATCCCTCATCGTCAATCGGTGGAGGAGGTGGGCTCTACGCTGGTATATCTCTCGGTGGATCGACCCCAGCCAAGAAAAACACGGATGAGCCTGCCGAAAAGTCCACCGCCGACTCGGCTCAACCAGCAACGGCGGCATTAGACCCAAGCATAGATAGCCCTAATGTCGATCAGGACGAGCGATCGGCCAACACTGATAACTCAAAGGACGATACCAAGAAAGATGACGAAAAGTCCAAAGGTGAACCCATGTCCATATTCAACCTCTCCTTTCCATCCTTACTCTCAAACCGGTGCACCCTCTGTTTCAATCTCCACCTGGCTTGCTCGTTTCCCCTTCCCCCCCGCCCACTTTTTTGCGTCTCAACACTTTCTGTAGACTATAGCGAGACATGTTTCCCTCGCATTAATATAATTCATTCAATCACATTCAAAAAATTCTGCGATCTCTCTTTTATTTTGGACTGCTTGCTAATCTATAAGCATCAGCTTCTTCATGGTCTTCTTCCCTTCGATTCGCGCCGGTGATCCGAAAACAACCTGCAAAGTCCACTACCAAGCCTTTCGCCGTACCGTTCTCTGCTACGGTTTCAGTCACCACCAAGTCCGGTCTCGCCGCTACTGCCTTTGCACCTGATGACGAGCACGAGGTCGCACCAAGTAATTCAACCAGTCGGACCATGCACATTCCTGGACGTGCCAAGGCGGCTCTCAACGCACCAGCACCAGCAGCTCAGACCTCAAAGGCCCCCAGTGTATTTGCTCGCAAAGGTGGATTTCTCGCTGCACATGCCCCCGAGCGGATTCCTGGAAGCTCCAACACTTCTGGCGCGTCCGCTGGTACTCTCAGCACATCAACTGCCATTGAGAAAGTTGACTCCAGTATTCCAGGTTTCAAACACTCATTTCCAGCGATGCTTGCCCAAACAACAACATTGAAAGGACTAGTGCCGTCCAATAACTCTGGAAATCCTAATAAGCTCCTGAAAAAGAAACTGGAACAACCTCCTCCTCTCACCTTACCCGACGATGAGTTTGGGACAGGTGGAGGTGGCGATGTGAATGGATTCGCACAGTCAGAAGCCGGTCGAAAACTGGCCCTCAGGGCTGCTAGAAACTCCAAAAAAGTACGCCATCCTATGAATTTCTTAACACCGGGACAGAGGATGTCCAATGGGCTAAAAAAACCTAGCTGGTGGATAATAATCTAATTGATGATTCAAGTCCAAGAAGAAGGGAAAAACCCGTGAAGTAGACCCCGCTATCTTGTTCATGGAGGATTATGATCCGGCCCGACCTAATGATTACGTTAGTCTGAAGAGTTTTTTTTTTTTTGTGTTCAAAAATCCCTTCTGGAATGTGAAACTAATCCTTTCCCCCTCCATCGCGGTTTGAACCTGGCCTTTTAGAATGAGTGGATGAATTTTATCAAGCGCCGGCGAGAAGAGAGACGCGAAGCCTTACGACTTGAACGCCAGCGTCAACAGCGGCAAGAACGTGAAGAAATGTCTGAAAGTTCCTACTACAGCTCTGATGATGATGGTAGCGGCAGTGATGATGCCAGAGCGGCCCCTCGAGGTAACTTACGCATTCTTATATCTCCACTCTGCAAATGCATTGGAAAGCACTTACGTAGCTTCGTTCAATATCGCTACAGGCAACTTTTTTGCACCTCCTGCAGAATACCATGAACCTAGCGCGAAGGATGAGGATAACCAACGACCTCCCTCTGCAGGACCACTCCCTTCCATTGCACGCGCTGAAACTGGAGATGAGGCTTACGCTCGTCGAGTAGCTTTGTCTCAAGGCATTCCCCATAACCCCCCACAGCATGTAACAGGCACTGAAATCAGCATGGCCGAGTCGGCTACATCGATAGAGGCACCGCCAACCAGCGCTGCGCCAATTGTATCGGTTGCTGATGCACAGGCTCGTGCAAAGTTGATTGCGGAACGTCTCCAAAGATTAAGAGACTCTAACAATGAAGCATCCGGTGGCTCCCCAGCATCAGGCAACGATACATATGAAATTCCTTCATTCGTACCGCCCCAACCAGCACCCCATCCGCCCCCGACACTGTTAGAGGCCCAAGCTAAAGCCAAAGTGATTGCAGCCAAGCTTGCAGCTCTCAACGGTATGAAATCTTCAACATCCGGTACTGCTGGCGTGCCACACGCACTTCCGCAATCCAACCAAGAATCTGCCCCGTTGGGACCAACCACTGAGGCACCAAACAAGGCGTCAGTATATTTTGACTACTTTCAATGGTATTGTCGTCTCCAGAAGCTGGCCCGAATCGGGACAGTGATGTAAAATGAAAGCAATTGGTGATGCTGATTCCCGGTGACCTTTTTGAACTAGTCCTGGTCAGCCCGACTTCGCCCGGCGATTGATGGATAAGTACGGTTGGAAAGAAGGACAAGGATTAGGTGCCAATGAATCAGGTCGAACCAGCATCTTGACGGTAGCAGCAGGTAGCTCAGGACCTGGTGGCAACAAGAAGCGCAAGGAGAATCCTGGGGATTCTGCCATGGCAGGGCCCACGGGACCGCACAAAATTGGATCGATGGCCAAGGGGAGAGGTGTGGTGATTGATGATGCGAAATCCCAGAGAGATTTAGAGGAGAAGATCCGGTATGGGGAGCCGACCCGGATCGTCTATCTGACTAATGTCGTAGCGGTTGATGAGGTGGATGATGAATTGGCAACAGAAATAGGTCAGCATTTTGCTCGTTTGCCTGTAGGACGGACATTTTTTTCACCAATAGCTAGCTTCTGGAGCTGATTTTCTGTTTGCTTTTGATCTGCCAACAGCTGAAGAAGCAAGGAAACACGGAATCGTCGAACGATGTTTTGTTCGTATTGTTCAACGAGAAGATATAGATGATCCCTCAGAGAAAGTGCGAGTGTTTATCCTGTATTCTGGACTTGTTGGAGCCTGGAAAGCAGTCAAAACGTTTGATGGTCGATTTTTTGGTGGACGAAATATTCGTGCCAGGTTTGCCTTCTTTGGTTTGATTCTTAGCTTGATAGAAAGACTTTGGTTCTTACCTGGATTTACTGATCTTCAATCTGCTGATTCTAGATTCTTTTCGGAGAATTCTTTCACCTTAGGTGATTGGGACGCTTGATTGTCTGTTGATACAAAGGCTATTTTCTTTTCCTTTTTTTTAATATTCATTGTCGGTGAAAAGCAATATCATGCGAGTTGTTTTTTTTGTCCGGATACCCTATCTCCATTCTCATATGTAGATAACACCCTTTTTGCAATTGTGATGCCAATGTGGCGAGACTGAATTAAAACAAACTTCATTTTCCATCCTTGAAGAAGCTTCAAGCTGCCAGTCTCAAGCCTCAGCTTCGCACACCACCCTCACAAAGTGCCTCATACTTTAGGTCTTTGCATTCAACGTGGACTATCTCTGCTGACACCATCTCCCTTTCCTCTGAATGGCCATGATGCGTTCCAATGGATGCTAGTCTCGTGTTTCTCATGTGGTTTGAATTTGGTTGAGTGTCCCTTGGTTGTGGAAATGGAGGCAACATGAAACTTCAATGCAGTGCAATCCACCTCTGCCCACATTCACAGTCCATAATTTGGACAAGTGTGACAAGTTGGTGGCAGATTTGGACATCTCCTTCCAGGCGCTTGAAGGCACGCTGCCTAATCCACCCCCAGACCATTCCACAAGTCAGGTCCGCGGCCTGAAGGCAGCAATTTTTAGTCAGCAAAATCTTGAAAAATGAATTCTACCTTTTTGTTTCAGACACATCTTTGGCTTTAATCAGATCCTGAACCTTCAACCAGCCATGTCAACTATGAAATAATTCTCTTGGTAAATTTTCACTCCCAACTGTCTGCAGCTGTTTTTGTACATACAGATTGCCCTTGATTGAGGCAATATGTAGACTGTTTGGAGTATCCTAGTCCTACTGATCATTTGGCAAAACACTCTTGCAATTTTCTTACCCTGCTGCAGACACTTGTACAGCTGTTTTACAAAAGCATGTTTTTTTCCACAATTTTTCCCCCCCCAAAAACTTCATCTCCCCTGGCCCCACCAGTTTCAAAGTGCTACAGACTACCCAATCAACCAAAGTTGCACACAGTTTGTTTGAGTTGTGTTGGTCATCTGCTGCTCTTTAGGCTGAGATGGCACCAAGTACTTGTTGCCTTCCAACAAGTACTTGCCTACGGGTGCGGGTGTCTGAGATCTGAAAATTTTCACGCAAGTACTTGTACTTGTTGCAGGTGCGCAGGTGTGAGGGGCAATCTTTAGGCCCCAGTCTAGATTATAAAATTGCCTGTCATGCAGGGCTGGGTGGTTGCCTTGAATTTAAGGTGCCCTAAGTTCTAATCATGAGTTGTTCCTGGGGGTTAGGATCTTACTAGTAAAACCCACTTGCATAATTGACCCAAGTTCCACAGTGACAGGGCCTATGACTAGCCACTGCAGTTTATGATTGCACTTTTTAGTTGATTTAGTTTTGATTTGTTTGTTACATTTATTTTTCAATTCTAAACACTTTTTGATTATAATCTAAAAAAAAAAATTGATGAATGGTTTGTAATTGGTGCCTAAATATAAATATTACATGGAAATTATGTTAGAAAGCAAAAAATAAATGTAATTGTTTGCAAGAAAATTCCAAGAAAAATGAATGGCATGAAAGCTAGAGGTGATATGTTGACCTTACATGCAATGTATTGTGTGTTAACAAAAGCTTGCCCTTGGAGCTAGACTCAAGAAGAAGAAGAAAGAGTTTCATTACCAGAAGTGGTGCCACTGCTTGAGCTGGCCTGTACCGCGGACCGAGTTGAGTGTGGTGAGTGAGTCCGAGAAGTGACGTCGGCTGGACCGGATCGAGTGCTGCAAGTCTTCCTGCTTCGGCCGAAGTCCTCCCAAAACTCAACTGTCCACTGCCCAACAGCCTCGCTCACCCTTGACCGCTCCCAAGAAACAAACATCAAAACCAACAACAACAATAAGCCGACAAGAAGATGACCAACTCAAACTCATCATCATCATCCTCACCTTCAACCTCCTCCTCCCCATCAACCACATCATTCACCGAAGTATGCTCGAACGTGGCTAGTGCGATCACCCAATACTTCACCCCAACGGTATCTGCTGAAGCTAAACAAGACAGCGAAGAGGAGAAAGAAGGAGGAGAAGAAGAGGAGGAGGAAGAGGAAGAAGACGAACCCGAAGATGTGAGTCCTATTCTCCCTAAAATCCTGACCGATCTCGTACAAACTATTGTCTGACCACCTCCTTCAATCGTGTCCTTCGATCATCTACAAAGCCGGCACCAGCAATCCGGGAGGGTAAGTTTCTTGCTTTGCTTGGAAGAACAAATCAATTACCCATTTATTGTAGAAATCAGACGCTAATTGATCTAACAAGGGTTTTTTTGTTTTGTTCTGATAGAATGCACGGAATCCAAGTGCTCGAAATACAAGCGTCACTTTGATCACTGCCAAGAACGAGTTTTGGGCGGCAAGGGAGACAAGGGAGAAGATTGCGTTGAAGAACTCTTTCACTTGATGCATTGTGTCGATGAATGTGTACGTTGTTTTCTTTTTTTACCAGTCCAGTCCTTTTTTTTAAAAAAAAAAACATTCTACAGTCTTCCAAGATCTAACTCGTGTTCTTTCTAATTTTGTGTAGGCTACTCCGCAAGTATTCAGCAAGTTAGTTTGATCAACCAAGTGTGACGACCATTGTGAAAGTCGATTGAAATCCACCCATCCAATCATCAATCCCTCGAGATGCTTGTGGATTGAATTAGAGCTCCAGTCCTCTCTTGTCTATATGAGATAGATGACATCCCCTTCAGAATCTTGTTTCTAGAATTTTCGGATTCCAGCCGGTTTCGATTGAAGCTCCCCTGCTTCATTTTAGTGTGCCACAGCCCTTCCCCCCCTATGTTCGAGAGCTGTCTAGATCTCGATCACTCTTGTTGCACCTCTCAGCTCCCTTCTAGAAACTAGCTCTAATGAAATAAATAAATCTCAGTTTCCTCCTGTAGACTGACAAAGCAGTCTCAACTATTCATACTTGTTCTTCTCATGAAAAGTGCCACCCTTTTTCGACTTGAGTAGTTTTTGGATTGTTTCCCTTACAAGATGACCGTAACTGAATTTACACTCTTCGCATGCCTCGCTGTGTTCTCAAGTGGCTAAGTGTTGCGATGAAGAGGAGTGCCAGTTTTGCGATGGTGAGGGGTGTATGCGTAAGATTTGTGTTTCCTGATCAATGCGGACATGTTTGTGCGGGTATTACCAGGGGAGCTTCATGAACTAGTTGTTCTATAAATTTCCCATTACGTTCACGTTTGAGGAGTTGACCGGAGTGACGTTCCGCCGGCCCAGGGCAGGAGGGTCGTTGTATGACTTCGGGAAGCTCTCGAGTTGCTTGAAGCCTTCCAGCTCAACACCAACCACTCTGACTACCCTCTTGAGGCGATTCGGATCGGTTATCGATGAGACGCACCATTCTAATCAACCATCGATCACTCAGCCTGGTCCGATATCGCCATTATGGAACCAGTCCTTCTACTCCGAACAACAAGTTATACTCTGATACCCTATTGTTACCCAGGACCGACTTCCCACTACGGCGTCTGAATTCGGAGCAGCAGAGTGAGGCTCAGCTACGCTTACGAACCACTAAAAACTTATGGGACTGGCAGGTGAGTCGACCTTTTCAGACGTGTGTTATCCTCAGTCTTGAAGCCCGTTACTGATATTCATCCTGTGTGTAGAGTAACCAACTGCAGAGACCGGTCTGGACGCTTCATGACGGACCTCCGTATGCCAATGGCTCGATTCACATGGGCGAGTCATGTCTTTGATGTCGGTTAGCTCTTTCTGAAGCAGCTTGATAACGATTCTGTTGGTCTCTTCAGGTCACGCGCTCAACAAAATCTTGAAAGATATCATCAATCGGAATAAGTTATTGCATGGTTTCCGGATCAAGTAAGGGGGAAAATCGTTTTTGAAGATTCATTTGTATCGAAACTCATACCCTTTTGTCCGCAATTGCAGCTATCTGCCTGGTTTCGATTGTCATGGTTTGCCCCTAGAGCTGAAAGCAATCCAACGACTTCGTACTGCCTGCCATGATACAGAATCACTCGAGCCAGTTCAAGTACGCGATGCTGCTCGGGCCACAGCGATGGAGGGTATCGAATTACAAACCCAGCAATTTGATCGTCTATCAATACTGACTGATTGGGGAAAAGCTTGGCGGACACTGGGTAGGCTTCGATCGAATAATCTGACCCACACTCAACCAGAAATAAGGCCTTGATCATTCTGATTTGATGCATCAGATCATGATTACGAGATCAAGCAACTCGACCTGTTTGCTCAGATGGCCAAGAATCGTCTGATCTCTCGACATAGAAAACCCGTCCATTTCTCACCATCATCGGGAACCGCCCTGGCCGAAGCTGAAATCGAATATCGAGACGATCATCTCAGTCGTTCAGTTTACGTGGCCTTCGACATCCTAAACCCTTCACCTGCTCTACAAGCAATCACAGATCGATTTGTTTTCAATGCAAAACTGAAAGCTGCCGTATGGACCACAACTCCATGGACCCTGATAGCCAATCAGGTAGGTTATGAGATTACTACGTACCCTCCTCCTGCTGATCGAAACTGAAAAAATTGATGTCTTTTCGGGTCCCAGGCAGTTGCTATTAGCAAGTCGGCGCGTTATTCTCTCGTGAAGCTCTCGTCGGGTGACTTATCGAATGCGGAGGTCTTGATATTTGCGACTGATCGACTTCCCGCACTTAAGAACCTTATTGCAGATGAATCGTCGGAGATGGAAGTCGTCGGCGAACTTAGTGGTCAGGTTTTTTGATTTTTCATTCAACCGTTTTACCTCCACCCCATCGGGGCTTACACTCACATTACTCCAACCTAAAAATCTAGGCGAAGAACTGGAATTGTCCACCTATCGCCACGATTTTAACTCTTCGGACCTCCCAATATTTTGTGCAAATCACGTGACGGTCGAAAGTGGAAGTGGACTTGTACATACCGCGCCATCCCATGGCTTAGAAGATTTTTACGCTTACACAAACTTCATGAAAACTCAGCGCCCCTCAGAGAGTCTCAGTTTGATCGAGGTTGTGGATGACCAAGGGAAATTCAATTGCCAGGATCCTATAGAATGGAGCAGAAGGTTACATGGAAAAGCAGCACTGGCGGACGGAAATAACGAAGTGATTTGCATGCTAGAAGAGCAGAAGAGATTGATTGGAAAGGAAGTTAAAATTCGACATAAATATCCATATGACTGGAGGACAAAGAAGCCCATTCTAACCAAGTGAGTGCTCAAGTCCCTGAGCAGAAAATCACAACAAAAGCAAGGCATTGATGCCTCCTTTTTTGTTTCTCTCTCATCTGATGTAGAATCACGAGTCAGTGGTTTGTCGAACTTGAGAATATTCGTCAGGCGGCTCTCTCAATGATTAAACGTGTTGATTTTCACCCTCCGACAAGCAGAACCCGCCTCGAATCATTTCTGAAGTCTCGCTCTGAATGGTGCATATCTCGCCAGCGCCCATGGGGAGTTCCGATCCCAGTGTTATACTCTGTCGAGACCGGTCTACCACTACTAACCTACGAATCGATCACGTGGATCATCGATATCTTAAGAGACCGGGGTACCGATCATTGGTGGCAAGGACCTGTTGAGGACTTTATCCCACCTGGTACTCCCGGCCAATTCACAAAGGGCACGGACGTAATGGATGTATGGTTCGATAGTGGCGTGTCCTGGCTGACTTCCGACGGTGCGACGGCCGATATGATACTGGAAGGATCTGACCAACACCGAGGATGGTTTCAGTCCCAAATGCTCACTTTTATTGCTGCCACCCAGCCCCATCAACGCGATGATCTGGTTTACAAGTCTGTTGTCACTCATGGTTTCACGTTAGATAAACATGGTCGAAAGATGAGCAAATCAAGTGGCAACGTGCTTAGTCCACTGGAGTTAATTGATGGAGATGAGGTGCGCCTTTCAAAAAAAAAACAAGTTGTATGGGGTTATTCTCGGTCAACTTTTTAAACCTTGTGATTTCGGAGTTTCAGACAAAAAAGCAGCCTGGATTCGGAATTGATGTTCTCCGGTTTTGGACGGCCTCAGTGGACTTTACCAGAGATGTGACGATCGGGGTCGATCAACTGTCACGACTCTCGGATGTTGTTAGAAAGATCAGATCTACTGCTCGATTCTTACTTGGTAACGTGTATCGAGATGATGATGTCAAGTCGAGTGAGGTTGGCCTGTCTCGCGGTGATTTTGGGCTAGTGAGTGAAACTATCATGGTCGAAGATTTGTTCTGAGAATCGAGTTGACATTCGATCATCTGTGCAGATCGAAGAATATATGCTGCATCTTCTCTATGAGTTCCAGCAATCAGTACAACGTGCCTACAATGAACTTGATTTCAAGCAGGGTCAGCGCGTGGACTCTATTCTTTCTCAAACTATTTATGTTCTCATGTGGAAGCAAACTCGATGTTCACTGATTCTTCGTTTCCTATGTTTTTTTTCTTTTTCCAATGCTCAGTTGTCCAACTTATAACCAACTTCACCACAAAAACGCTATCGGCGTTTTATTTTGAAACGGTGAAAGATATTCTCTATAGTAATGCTCAAGGGGACCCGGAACGTCAGCGGGTGCTCAACCTGATGTCGAAAGTGAGTGTCATGACCTTCCAGGTTCTAATTCATGGTACTAAACTCAATTGTTCTGTTTAGGTACTAGAAATCTACAAGCTTGCTATTGCTCCGATCTTACCCCATCTTGCCGAAGAAATTGCAATCCATCAAACCTCCTTCGGCCGTTCTTCCTCATCGCCGTCTGCCAGTGTTTTTGAACAATGCTGGCCGTCGTTGGTATGTAATTCAATCTGAGACCACAATTTCTTGGGAAAGGAAGCCCCCACTTATCGATTGACGTTTTGTTTCTTTGATTTCCTTTCTTTTTTCTTGCAATTGTGACGAAATAGTGTGAGGACTGGAAAGACTCGAAAATTCTTAAGGATATGGAATTCTTGATTTCTATAAGAGATTCGATCATGCGTGAAGCGGAGGTCTTGAGACAAGCCAAGTAAGTAGAAACATTCTATCATCTTTCACCTCAAGCTAAATTGGGATCTGGGCGCTAAGGTTTTTCTTCGATGGGCAGGAAACTTCGATCTTTAGAAGAAGTCGAATTGGTGATTGACATCTCGGATCCGATTGGGAAAGGACGAGCGGAGATTGTGGAGAGCTTAGTGAAACATGGTTGGTTGGAATTTCTTAAGCTTGAAGCTACTCGAGCTGATTTGACTTTTGTTTCTGGGTGATCTATTCAGACAGTTTATTACCCCGCTTATTCGGCTTATCAGATGCCTCAGTCTGTAGGACTGCTAATGTAACCAATACCGTCCTCAATATCGCCGCTCCTGCTTGGCAACATCCATTTGAATTCAGGTTTGGTGATCGTCAAGACTTGATCAGTAAGTTAATCTGACTTGTCATAAGATTGATTTGTTGTCTGACTCAACATTGTATTTCTCTTCTGTTCTGTGCTCTGTTGCTTAGTTAAATTATTTATTGTTCCGGCTTGGAGGACCAAATGTTCCCGATGTTGGAAGTTCACGGTAGAGGAAGGTTGTCCGGTTTGTGCTCGCTGTGCTGAAGTCTTAACATCATCATCATCGCTGTCACCACCGTAGGATTCTCCGGCTAGAAATGCTTTGCTTTGATGATCCAATCCATCGTTTGTTCTTCTATTATGATGTCCGATTTGAATAATTGAACCTCAATCGCATTCTGCAGAACCAAGTCCTCACTCGCCATCATGTACTCATGTTTCAGTTTAAATTCCTTATTTCTCATTCGTTCAAGAGGTGGCTTCTAATGGAAACAAAGAGTAAGAGAACAGCCTGAGTAGATATGTAAGTTCTGAATTTCAAAAGCAGGTGTTGAGATCAGGGTTAGCCAGGAAGCTTTGTCCCGATCCACCCATTTTTCCCAAAACACCCCCGTGAAAATTCAGCAATAGAAACCGCCTGACATGGATGGATAAGCCATTGGTAGTTCAGTTCCTCTGAATGTTTACACAGAACTCAAGTCCAAGAGGCTGATCTACGACTCTTCTCCTTAGTAGTTCCGTCTGCTCTGCTCATTGATGTCTTCCAACTTCGATCGGATGGTATTCCTTACGGCTTGTTGCACATAATGAAGTACTATGGATGACACTTGATATTATTATTGTTATTTTTTCCCACAATGTGAGCTGAGTTGAGGTTTGATTAATGATATGTTAGTTGGTCTGATGATATTGCTTGCAGAAGCTTGGACTGTGAAGGGAGACACTGAATGAGGAGAGTTGATATTATTTAGATAATCCCGTCCGGATCGCCAATCGCGAATACGTAGATCATTTTACATATCTCCTTCCTTCCTTCTATGTATCATCCTGTTGATGATGATGATGGCGATGAGGATAATCCTGCCAAGCTTAAATATTTAATTGACTCATGTGACACTGACTGGCCAGTTTGTCCCCCTTCGAGGAGAGGGCACATTGGAGAGGGCTGATTCTTCTCAAGTGTGATGATTCTTAAAAGAGAGCTGACTTGGAGGATTGATCAAAGTTTGGTGAGACTGTGAATGTTGAGCTTGGTTTTTGATTATATGCCCCCTCTTCCTGAACCTTAAGCCGTCTGTGAGAAATTGTTTCGGGTCTGATGAGCTGTGCACTTGGGTCCTGTGCTTCAGTCGAGACTGCTGAGACTTGCGGGAGAAGAGTTTGTTGACTTCTCTCCTTTTCTTCTCTTCTCTTTTCTTTTCTTTAATTTTTTCTTTTTTTTTTCGTTTACTTTTCCACTTTCCCTACTCTTTTCTTTTTTTCCTTCACTTCTCCTGAGATTCTTAGATTCAACAGCGTCGGAGTGAACCCATCTGAACTGATTAGACAACATCCTAAACTGTTACTGTTACTCCACTACCTCCTCCATCAGACAGAGCACATAGCACTCCCTCCTGCTCTTACCACCACCTCGATGTCGTCATCGGTCAACAGTCAATCAGACTCAAACACAATCGAACCTCCTCATCCCCCCCCTTCTCAAAGCACTCACACCCCTCCCACTAACCCATCCCCTCAGAATAATGAGAACAGCAGTAACGAACATAGTAACTCAGACAAACCAACAACAACAACAACCACAACCAAACCAAAGAAAAAGCTAAACCGCCAGCTGGCTAGCTGTTCGGGTTGTCGGTCAGTCCCCTGGATATTTATATCATCATATTACATAAACCAGTAAGTGGCCAGTCATCTGACACTTGTGTGCGTCGATTACCATACCAAAAACAACAACAAAAACAGTAAACGACGGACCAGGTGCGACCGAGTGAGTCAAACATCTTCAAATCTTGCTGTACAGAGATCATCAAACTGATCCGTCTCTTCACTTCCCAGGGTAGACCATGTTCAGAATGCTACAAGCGAAACTCGGCTTGCGATTATTCTGGGGCTAGTGCACCTCCCTCGTAAGCTCACCCATCTCACTATCACTGCTTACAAGAGGCTGGATGTCTTAATCAAGGATGTATCCATCATGTGGATGCTGATCCACGTGAATTAATTTGCCATACTCGAATCTTTCAAAAATCAGTATGCCCCATACCTCCATCGCCGAGCAAGTCGAACGTGAAGAATATATTAAAAAACTCGAGGCACGTATCCAAGCGCTCGAAAACAGCGTCCCTTCTGCAAGTGATCACAGCCAATCATCTACTCCGGCCAACCTAGCTCAAGATTTCTCTGTCGACGATCTGGCCTCTCAACTGAGTATCATCACCATCGGCCAACGAGTTCGTTGCCCAACCGGCCTCACCCATCCACCTCACCCCTTACGCACTCAATTTGAATCCATCCTTGCCTCTCAATCGAATATCCCACCCATCACCTTCATCCAGCCAGACCAACAGTTCTCCTTGGACTTGGTAGCAAGATATCCTATCCCAACCCTCGAGGAACTATGCTCAGAGTGTCTACCACCAAGGTCTCAGATCGACTTCTTATCAGGCTTCTTCTTTACTACTCTCAACCTCTGGACGCATTCCATCAATCCGGTCGATTGGAAGATCCAACTTGATCGCTTCTGGAGCACCCCTGACCGACTTCACTTTCGTCCCTCGCCCTCCAAACCCGATCCGCCACATCTTACCAAACATTACCTAGCTCAGTTTGTCTCGATCTTATATGGGATCATCGGTCATGGGCTTGCGAGGTTGGCCGATATCCATAACCTCGAAACCGTTGCCGAAAACCAATCCAGTGGAGACTCCTCTGCATCCAGCCCTCCTCGCGATTACCATCTGTGGAACCTTAATCAAGCTGAAAAGATCTCACTTTCTAACCGCTGGTTCAGGTTCTCCTTAGGTTTATTGATGAGTCCAGAGGGGAACATTTACATCAAACCAACAATTTTTGGGATCAGGGCCATGGCCATACTGAGTAACGTCGAACACGCGTCAGTAATCTTGCTTCATTCCTTTCTCTCAACTTTGTGCAATGACTAGGAACCACCTATCTCTGAATGAACAAAACTCAACCCATTCGAGATGATCACAGGCCCGAAAATATCGATCATGGGATGATCTTTTGGTCGTTGACCACCAGCTCGGCGATGTCAGCTGGACTGCTCCGTGAACCACCGGTTTCTGATGATGAAGACATCAAAACTCTAGATGAAACTGAAATCGAATCTCGTAGGCAGCTTGCTTGGGCAATACTAGGTCTTGATTGGTGCGTTTTCAGTCTTGGGATCAGTTGACCATCATCATTTTGTCATGCCGCAGCAAATAAAAATTATATATTTGAAATTCTTGCTACTAAAGATCATTACCCAAATCAAGAGATTCAAGTCTCTACTTTTTTGTTTTGTAATTCACAACCTCGTTTGTGAATGATGATACGATTGTCTTATCTGTCTCTCAGTCTTGCCTTCTCACGTCACACCCCTACCCATTGAAAAGTGAATTCACCAGCAAAACAATCATACTAATTTGTCTTGCCGTTGCTCTACAGGGCAGGCTATTCCATTGCTAATGGAATGAGACCAAACGGTGATCGTAAGTGAACTAAAGAATATTTTAGAAAATTGATTTCGTGTATCAAGCAGTTGACGACCTGTACCACTCTTTGCTTGCACGTTCTTATCCATCAGCTGATCAAATAACTGTCAAGTTCCCCGGCACCGTCATCAGTTCAGCTACACCTCTCCATCCCATCGACGGTTGGCCGCTTGATCCTCTGGTGTGCATTCGCCGGATAGCTGCGCAAAATGATCGCCTGATGCGAAAAGCAAGTATTAAGATCGCAAGTGGCCATCCAGCCACATATCAAGAGTAAGCTGTCATCGCCGGAATGCTGAAGCGCGCAATTTATCTTGTTCATCCTCTTTCCCGGGTTTCTTTCCTAAAGGACATGACACAATATGTCGCTTACGTCACGTCAATCATGTAAATATCTGATCTACTATGTTTTCATTTGCCACTCTAGCGTCAAAGATGCTCAGGAGAAACTCGATGAAGTCGAATCGACGATTCCTCAACGACTTCAGGCCAGGATCAGTGCAGATGGCAAATCATTTGAAACGGTAGTGAAAAGTGACGAAGTATATACTCTTCTGGCCGCTGTGAGTTTCTGATTGTCATTCAACTCTTCAAGAGATTAGAGCTATCGGGTTGGTGTCACTTGCTTCTGAAAAAGTTTTCAACTTGAATCCATCAACTTGCCATCAATTCTGGGACAAAAGTTCTTGTATAGTCGATTCTGTGTCCCTCGAATCAGATTACTTCGATTGTTCATTTTTCCCAAGGAAGGTGTCCCTCCTCAAGACCGACTCAAACAGCTGGAAAGTGAGTATATCCTCTTTACACACTATTCACCTGGAAATTGGCCAATCAATCCTGTCGCATCACATTTTCTCGACCTTGACTTGTTATCTTCATCTAGCGCTCCTATCGACTTCGAAGCTCCATTTCCTGCCTTGCGTTACTATCCACATAATCTCAGCATGCATCCTCTCATACTGTATGGCCTTATCAATACCGCAGTTGCTTGTGCTTTGGTTTTACTCATCAGTCAGTCGACTTTATTCAAGTCAATCAAAATTTTTATCGAGCTTACATATCTTTTGATCCGATTCGTGCGCAGATCGGCAAACACATGAGCTCGTAATCGACGAAGATTTCTATCTCTCAGAACTTCATAAAATCATGGCCTTATTCGATTTGGGCAAGAAAACCGTCGCGGCAACTATGTCCCGAAAAGCTATCACACTCTTGCAAACTCTGATCAAGCAGGCTGAGCTTCTCGCTCATTCTGCCGAGTCCAAGAGCTGGGATCGTCGAAAGAAAGGACCTGGGGCTACAATTCAAGCAAGTCACAAATCGATAGCTGTGGACGGAGAGGACCAAGTGAAGAAACACAAGCAACAGG